AAAATGTAACGCAAATCAACTTTGTATTCGATTCATACTTCGATTCATCAATAAAAATGTCAGAACATCAAAGAAGATTGAATTCATCGACGACAATACTTTATAGTACGATTAACGAGAAAACTGCATTGCTAAAAAAACCAGATACTTTTTGGGGATCATCAAGAAATAAAATCTTATTTCAAATTTTTTTACGTGATTACTTAAAACAAGATAAAAACTTACAATCACTCCATTTGATATTCAGCACAATAAATGACGAACCAAGTATCTCGAATCGAGGCAGTGTTGATTCTAAATTACAGCGAGAAGACATTGAAGAAGCAGACGTAAAAATATTAATACACATTGATCATGCTGTAAATAAGGGGCTCAATAACGTATTCGTTACATCGTCCGACACAGATGTTATTGTTTTGGTTACACACTTTTATAGGTTTTTCAAGCACCACGGTTTACAGGTAATAATTTTAATCAGAGTAAAAATTTCTTTGCCAAATATGTATAATTTTGTATTATTTCAGACTCTATGGGTTTATGCAGGAATAGGTAATACCATAAGAAATATACCCATTTATCTTTTAGCCGAATTTCATGGCGATGAATTATGCGATGTTTTACCAGCCGTGCATCATCTTACTGGTGCAGATTATACCAGTAAGGTTGGTACCAAATTAAAAGGTTTGCAAGCAAATCCTAAACATTTTTTGCTGACTTTTGGCAGAGGTAAGCATCTATGTATACATGTATAATTATTGTTGTGCATTGCTATGCTTTTTTTCATCAAGTATATAATTGTTATTTAATTCTTATAGATATATCAGATGAGTCAATACGCGAGAGTATACGATTAGCTGAAGAATATCTAGCTCGTGTCATAAATAATGGTACAAATTGTACGAATTTTGACCAACTTCGATTATGGTCATACAATCATAAATCTGGTTTTATTGAAGATTTGCCCCCAACATCCAATTCAATACAATTGCATATTCTTCGAGCATTTTATGTAGTGTACGGTCAATTAACTTGTCTTAATAAGGAAACAATGAAACTTGATCCGAATTCGTTTGGTTTCGTTGAAGAAGGTGGAAATTCGAATATACGAAGAATTACAACTCTACTACCACCGGCTGATGAATTATTGCCACCTTGCAATTGTAAAGTATGCAGCACAAAAGCATGTCCTTGTATTAAGAAAGGCATTAAATGTTGTACATTCTGTGCCTGTATGAAAAATAAATCTTGCCAAAACCCAAAAACCATCGAAGAAAACATTTGAATGATATGTAAATATATAGACAGATTTTTATGTAAATATATGTAAATAAAGTAAAATCTTTAATTTATAATAGTAAAATATATTACATTAACTTTCTATTATATTTTACGATACGCAAATTAAATAAAAGTTCAAGTCACTCTCAAAATTAGCGTGTGACAATTTAAAATATGTAAAAATAATCTTAGAGAGATGCGTTACTTTACCATCGATAGCGGCCGCTCGGCGGAAGCGAGCACAAACGCGTCGCCGCGGCGCGAGCGGCCGTTAAAACGACGATAGCTTTAGTTGTAACCAATATTTTTTCAAAAATCAAAATGGGTATTAATCTAGAAGAAAAACCCGATCGTGACGTGTAATTTTTAAGCCAGTTTTTTATCTGTAACATTGATTTATACTCTTATAAACAAATAAACTACCAAAAAAACAGCAAAAATAACGACATTTTTCGATTTCTGCTTGTTATCACGTGAATAAAAAAGGACTTTTATTGCATATAAAGATAGTGTAGACTTTTTCCTTCAAAATGAGATGTTAGCCAATGAAAAATATCGCTTAGAAGTCGAGTTATAGTTAAATTTATCCAGGCGCACCGGCGTCACCCCAGTTTTATGCACTTAATTAACAATATCTCCGGTTCTAATAACTTTATCATGAAAAATAAAAATGAGATTTGTTTGTTATTGAATAAGGAACATAATGTACTTACACTAATCTTCCTATCTCTTTTAGTTCAAAAGATACAGCGCTTTAAACATTTAAATTTTTTATAACAAATTACTCGACTGTCAGATCATTAAACACTATCGATATTCGTGTTCAGCGGGTCAAAATACATAAAAAAACCTTAGTGTTCCCATCTAAATTAAAAAGGCCACGGTGACCCCTCTGGCGACTAGACTACGCTGGAATCTCGCGCTTTTCGCGTCTTACGCGCCCCTCTCTATAGGTACCCAAAACGGCCGAGCGCCACCGGCTACGCACACGTGTGCGACTCATGCCGGCGACACTACTTCTCTCTCTCCTCCTCCGTTCCCCGCTCTCACTCCATCCCTCCAACGCCAGGCATCTCCGCCGATCAGGAATCAAACCTGCAACAAAGCCACATCGTGTGTCGATACTCGGTTTTCATCAACCTAGACCGATGTGGCAGTGGCTCAGGGGAAGACACGCGGAAGAGAGAGAGAGAGGCGAACAGAGCGAGCGAACTCAACGGTCGATTCGCCCGTCACAAACACACGTTTTATCAATATTTTTTGTTTCGGTAACATTAATATCCAAGTTTATTTGTATAACTTGCTTTATACAATATATAATAATATAATTCATCAGTTATTGGATGTCATCACTTATCACTGCGATTTTCTTGTATATGGTGTACTCTTTTCCATCCTCCATATTAACGAGAAACTGTACAATTTCTATGTAGTCACCATTTTTCAAAATTGCATATGAATTGTCTGATCTATACAATAACTTTTCGCATGACTTATATACACATCCATTTTTGACCATTTTTCTATAGGCTCTTACTTTTTCTATTGGAAGTTGAAACTTTTCAATAATAGCTTCATTAGTTACTGCTCTTCCAAAATATCTGTATGCGAATTTAACAGTTTTTTCTATGAAACCATTTAAATTGATCTGAGCGACTTCCTTGGCGAAGTAAATTGCTCTTGTTTTGAAATTTTCTTTTGTTCTTTGTTGTTAATTTATTTATGATCGTTATTTGTTATTTTATTAGATGTATAGGAGAAATCACTTGACACTGATTTAGGGAAAAAGCCATACCGGCATAAAAAACGCTTTTATTAAAATGAAATGGGAAATTACAATGATAGAAACAATGCGAGAGAGACGTCGCGCGGAGAGCGATGGTCGTTGCCATGCATGCACCCACTCAAACGCCTTGCACACAAAGGAATTTAGTATACAACAAATTTACATTTACTATCACGCACTCCAACCACACTGAAGCGATAGGAAAGACCACGTGAGTGGACGAGAGCCTTGCAATACGTGGGTATTGTAAGCGCTATTGCACGTGGGTGCATGAAACCGTTATTAAAACGTAAAGACGCGAGGGAGCTCCGCACGCTGGACGATGTCGTCGACGACTACCGGTAACACCGGCAAGAGCAGCCATGCTTGGCGCGAGTGGCGCAGCGCCGCAAGGTGCTGCCACCACGCTAGGCTTAAGGCCCTAGTGCCTCACACATTCTCGCACAAAGACACGCTTTAGCAGCGCGCGCAGCTTAACTTAATTTAAAAGTACATGCCTGAATAAGATACGTATGTGTTAGTACATATATATCGTGTTACGACGTAACATACTGCCGGCCACGGCTGCAAGACTAGTTAAACCATTAACGGTCGAGCAAGGTTAGACTTAACAAGAACTTATATTAACTAGTTGACCCACTCCTGCATACGAATCTAGGACGGTCTTTGGTATATTTACATGAAGAGCCAGTTTTCGTTGAAGGGACTGCTCCATTGATTAGCACCGACATCACAATCTGATTGATTGGAAGCTATTTTGCCTCAACTTCTCTTAAACTATTAATATAACGAAATGAACGATTAACAATGTCTTAAGTCTAATGAACAACTTATTCTACGTGAGATCATCAGAGGCCATAATTTTGATGCTTCAATGATCACGCTTGTCTTAAATTAAAGTCGACGTAAGGTTGGAGTCTCCGCGATTATGGGAACCTGATATCCGGACAGGTATCGCACTCCAAAGATTGTCTCTTTGGGCATCTGGCTGTAGAGCACTCTGTACTCTACCCTTCTCGGGCCAGGCTTAAACACTTCCAGAATACCCTATGGTTCAACTCGTTTATGGCAAACCAAAGAGCGCACATCTGGGGCTAATTACGAAGTCGGGAGGGTAGCTTGAGACTCCAACGGATCCGCGTTTTCCTGATTCACAGGTAGCACACAGAGCCGAGTGATGTTCCGTTTGTAGATTCCGGAAGCCATTTTCACAGATGCTACTCGAGCAATGCCATTGCTCCCAGGGTGGATCTCCACGACGACACCCAGCGGCCATCTTACGCACGCAGGGTTGTCCTCCATCGATACAACCACGGATCCAGGTAATAAGACGGTTTCGGAGGTCAACCACTTCTGACGAGTTTGTAGTTCATGCAAGTACTCTTTGTGTCATTTACTCCAAAAGGCTTGCCTAGCCTTAGAGACGAGTTGGTAGGAAGTGAGGCGATTGTCCGGAACTGAAACATAATTTTGGTCGGGTAAGAAATTGAAGGGACGCCCGATCAAAAAATGAGCTGGAGTTATCGCAAACCGCCGAAGTGCGGTGAGAGAGGTGGATTAAAGTTCCATTCAACCCGTTCGGCTGCAGCAAAGGTCTGAATCGCGTCTTTAAATTCGGGTGAATCGTGTAATTTGTAAATCTTTCGAAGTTCGTTATTCGCACCCACAAAATTAGTGCCATTGTCAGAATGCATAGTGGTCGGTTTGCCGTGCGTGGCAATGAACCGACGAAAACATGCGAGGAAGCCCTCAGCTGAGAGATCGGAAGCTACCTCGATGTGGACAGCCTTGGTGGCCATGCAGACGAAAACAGACCCGTACGCGTTAAGGAAGCTTCGATTCCAATCCTTTTTTAATTTGATCATAATCGGACCAAAAAAATCTACGCCGGTTTTAGCGAAAGCGAACGCAGGGTTTACTCGAGATTCTGGTAAATTTATTCAAGATGGTCTGCCATCTTGGCGTGTGAGAATTTTGGCTTTTGCCGAAGACAGGGTACGCAGCGGCGCAGGACATGTCGAATCTGATTTCGACCGTTGAGAATCCAAAACCTCTCGCGTATCGTGTAGAGAGTGGATTGGACCCCTCCGTGAAGATTTCGATGATAAGCGTCGCGGATAATGAGATCTGACACGTGATGATTACTGGGTAGCAAAATAGGGTATTTTTGATTGAACTGAAGATTTGAATTCTTCAACCGACCGCCTACTCTAATCACCCCATGCTCGTCTAAGAAGGGATTGAGTTCGTCGAACTTCGTTCGACTCCTGAAAGCGCCGTTGGGGCCTTTGGAAATTAATTTTGTAGTCGACTTGAGCAATCTTATCTCATAACTGAAACATTCTCTTTGGATGAGAAGAAGAATATTGCGCTCTGCGTGAGCTATTTCGACTTGAGAGAGGTAACGAATCCCTCGTTGCGATTTATCCGCATCTTGGGTATCGTCTGGCAATCGTTCCCTTCTACTCCAACGGAGAAGATATCCGATGGACCTAATAAGGCACCCATAGTCAGAGAAACGAGCGTAGACATTGCTTCCGGAAGAAGTGGTGAATAAAACAATTCCCTCTGTCGCGCCTGGAGGATCACCTGACGAGGAATCTTCCGATGAAGGCCATTGATCTTCAGGAAGAACCAACCATGGAGGGCCTGAGTTCCAGAGGGGGTCAGCTAAAAGTTCCCTGGGTAGCTGTTCTCGGGATAGTGAATCGGCTGGATTGTCTTTCGAACGAACATGTTTCCACTCGACTTTCTCACCTAGCGTTTGAATATCAGCGACTCTATTCGCTTCGTATGTTCTAAGTAAATGAGGAGCTTTATCTAACCAGCAGAGAACGATTTTTGAGTCTGTTCGAAGAATTGTTCGCACGATAGTGAAAGTCAGCTGTGTCACAAGTTCGACATATAGTCCTTTCAAAAGGGCAGCACCCGAGAGTTCCAAACGAGGTATGGTGTGATGACTAAGAGAAGCAACCTTGGATTTACTGCAAGCCGACCTTACAGTGACATTTCCCGCGGAATCAATGGAACGAATGAAGATGCACGCGCCGTATCCTTTGATCGACGCGTCGCAAAAACCGTGTACCTCAGTGGATACTGGGTTCGCAACATCGTATCGCAGATATCTTGGTAACGCGACTTCTCGCACCATAGGAAGTTGTTCAGCTAAGGCAGTCCACTTTGTGTGGATGTCTTGAGGTAAAGATTCGTCCTAGGTAATGTTAGCTTTCCAACATTCCTGGATCAATGTTTTGGCATACGGAGTTAGAGGACCTAATAAGCCCAGAGGATCGAAGATCTTTGCAATCTGGGAAAGGAGTTTTCTTTTGGTAGAAGCTGATGCATCAGGGTTTGCGGAATATGAAAAGACATCTCGTTGAGAGTCCCAGATGATTCCGAGAGTCTTCTTTATGGGGTTCCCTTGTATGCCACAGTCTAAATCGAAGATATTTTTATCGATGTTGTCTAAAGCCGACGGATGATTAGAGGACCATTTTCGTATCACGAACCCCCCACGATTTAAGAGTTTGATCATCTCGTCGCGAATCCTCATGATGTCCTCCAACGTGTCTGCACCTGAAAGGAAATCGTCAACGTAGAAGTCTCGACGAAGTAGCATTGCCACCTTTGGGAATCTGCTCTCCTCATCAACGGCCAACTGGTGCAATGTTCGAACTGCAAGAAAAGGAGCACACTTCACCCCGAAAGTCACAATGTTAAGAACGAAAGTTCGAACTTCGCCTTCGTGATACCACAAGATCTTTTGGAACTTCCTGTCGTCGGAATGAACCCAGATTTGTCGATACATCTTTTCGATGTCTGTAGTAATGACGAAGGGATGAGAACGGAATCGCAAAATTTGCTGCCACAGAGTTTCCTGAATAGTCGGTCCGGTCAACAACGTATCGTTCAACGAAATGCCCGTGGAGGATTTTGTAGAAGCATCGAAAACGACACGACATTTTGTCGTTTCGCTAGACTCCTTGATCACCGCATGGTGAGGCAAGTAGTAACCATCGTTGTTGTCGTCCTCGCACAGCGTCATGTGGCCAAGTTCCATTGAATGGGTTTTCACACAGACACGCTTTAGCTGCGCGTGCAGCTTAACTTAATTTAAAAGTACGAGTACCTGCCTGAATAAGATACGTATGTGTTAGTACATATATATCGTGTTACGACGTAACACCATTTTCTAAATATCTGACATATTCTGTACATGGTGAATCTTTTATTTCCACCTGTTTTTGTAATTTTATTATACTTTCTTCAAAAGATAGGTAATATTATTAGGACATATTTGACTCAAGATACCTTTGGCAACATAAATAGTTTTTTTAATTTGTTCATTACCTGATTCGACTACGTAGCCACTGTGAGCATTACTCCCGTTCAGAATAAATAAATTTTTGAATTTTTTGGGGCAGGTGGCTTAATTGATAGCTAATGATATCAGGAATCACTGTGTTTTTTTTCAGATTTTTATAATAATTTTAAGTGCGCCCAATCGTTGTTCAAAGTTTTTGAAAAATTCAGAATAGTTTCTAGCAAGTGTTAATTGAACGAAATCACAGGAGTCAAGAAAAACAAAAGCGACCATAAATTTATCTCAGAAACGTGACGTAGGTGTCAACAAATAATTGCAAACTAATTACAACCATATGCTCTCCCGACAACGAGCGCGCAGGTAAATGCTTCGATACAATACTCGATACGACCTTTCTGTCCCCTTTTTATGGCCATACCTGCTTATTTGGCAATTAACAAAATATTGTTAATATTTTCAAAAAGGAGATGTTTATTAATTTGATTGAATAGCTGATTGCAAAAGCAAGCTAACAAAACTTGAATTAAAAAAATCCGACAATTAGAGCTTAATTGAGAGAGATAGAGAGAACAATGGATTAAAAATCTTAATCTATTGATTTCTTAAAAACTATAAACTTTAGAAAAAAATGTTTAAGAACAAAAATGTCTTAGAATTAGTCAAAGAATACTCTTAAATTATTTCAGAATTTTCGAAGCCAATTTTTGATTTTCGAAAATTTCAAAATATCCAATTTTTCAAAAATACCTAAAAAATTAAAAAAAAAATTGAGATGGTTCCTTGACTAATTTTAAGACTTTTTTGTTCTTAGACATTTTTTTCTAAAGTTTATAGCTTTTATGAAAATAATAGATTGAGATTTGTATAAAATTTTTCGATTCTCGCCGCTATTTTAAGATAACGCGTCGATGAATTTTTCTGAAAAAAAATTCCTCTTAATGTTTGAGTGCCATGATCACCTCTGATCATAGTAAAAAGTTGATACCTTTGCGGTATCATTGTGAACAAAAATGCAAAAACAACTTGTTTTCGAAAATTTTCTTATTTTTCACGTTTAAATCGGTGATATTTTTTTTCTAGGTGTCTAATCGAAATTTTGAGCTCAGATTCTGAAAGAGCATCAAATTTCGCATAGGAATAGAGGTATTGCATTATTTTTTTCGTCTGATAACATAATAAATAAACACGTTGAAAAGTTAGTAAAAATTCTGATCACCTCGTCGTTAATGGTTTAATAAATTAATATAAATAACGATTTTTAAAAATAAAAAGTATTATATTTCATTCACAAATATATATAATATACATTTACATTCATTGAATAATTTATTTATTTTATATATAAGTTTAATTTTATTATTCATAAATTACTAAATATCCATTCATTCATGCATTCAAGATATACACAAAGTCTCTGAAAAATCTTTCTTTAGTGTTTCTTTATCGTAGTTAGGAAATTTTTTTCGCAATTGTGCTACCACCCGCAAAAGATTTTGTTTATCTTCATCTTTTGTCGTCAAAACATTATTGAATTCTGTGATCAAAGCTACAGCACGTTCTGCACGATCGTTCGTAACGCTCAATCCTTTCACAATTTTTCGAGCATTCAAAAAATATTTATGTTGAAACCATGTTTCAGGATCTTCATCCATAAAAGTAGTATTTATTCCAAATATGTGGAAAAATTGAATTGAGTTTTGCGTTACGAAGAAATCCAAAGACAAATTTTCAATATTTTGTAAATCTTCAACGCTAAAGCTTTTCAAAATCAAATTTTTTACACTACCCGGACGTTTCCTAATTGCTTTGACCATTAGCCTTTTACATTCAAAAGACACATTCTTATCAAAAAACGACATTGAGATAAGTTACTCGCTTAAATACCACAAATGAGTCTTGAACTTATCTAAAACTACTTCACAAAAACATTAACTTACACCACTGTCGCGAGTGATTTCTTGCAACAGTTGCAAGTCATTGCGTGCTGCTATCATTGGCGTACTTGCCGTGAACCAATATTTGAAGTAGACGGCCACGATGAAGACGCATATTTCTTGCAGGTATTCGACTTCTTCGTCGCTGATCAAATTTTCTCGAAGAAGTTGATTTTTGACAGCATTCATTTTTAAAGAATAAATGCCCTTTGCCATCCACCTAGCGTGATGAAATGCTCCAGGTTTCTTCAATCGCCTGTTCTTCAACTCCCCACCCAAAAATAAAATCACCAACTCCAATAACTCTAAATAATCAGAGCGGTAATTACCTAAAACAAAAACGGTATTGCCCCTAAAACAAAATAAAAATGATGAATTAGTGATTTGAATAAGCAACAAAAAATGTTTAAATCATTATAAAAAATAAATTTTTAAAATTACCTGCAATTTCTCCTGAGCAAAGGCGAGCAGTTCCTCTTTTTTATTTTGAAAAACTCTTGCAATCATGGGGTTGTTAATACCACTGTCGTAAACTGTAGGATCTATAGCTCTCCAAATCTGCTGTAGCCTCTTGAAAAGCATCACTTCCGGGCCTTATGTTTTTTCAAAACAAATTTCGAAGGCTGCTCTGAGGAGCAGCTCGTACACATGATGACGACAGGCTAAATGTAAGAGCTTTTTCCCTAAAGCTTCTTCGAGCAGCACACACACGCCTTTCTTTGCACCTGTGTTGGTCTTGGTGGTGTCAAAAGACAAAGCGCTTATCAAGTGAGCTACGTTCCCATCGTCCAACAGAATCTTTACAGCATCGGCATGGACTTGACCAGTTCCATCTTCAATAGCTGGAATCCCAAGTACTTGATCTGTTTCGTGATTTGAAACAGTCACCACGAGCCTATGTACTTTGTGTTGGTTGTCATCGTCGAGCATGTTTCCGTCCCAGTGCACCGTCAATTTTTCCGTAGGAGCGAAATTATTTTTGATCCGATCGGCCATGTCCTTCCGGATGTCTATGCGTGATCGCCTTATAAACGAAACACTCAAACAGACATCATCCAAGTTTACTCCAAGCTGTTGTAAAATCGCTGATGCTATCTGCATACACGCTGCATTTGATATTTTGCAGCGATCCAAAAATGCAACCGGATTCGATGAAACTATTCTCTTTTATTCTGGCAAATTATTTGTTTGCCCTGGCTCATAATAAGCATCATTCTCAACAGCACACTTTTTGCTGTCAATCAAGATGCAATTGAAATCTTCATCATCAAGAACATAGTCTGCTAAGTTGCTTATAGGCTCCTTTTCTTTGGCACCTGAAATGATAAATTAATCGTGTTTATATGAAAAAAAAATGCCAAAATAGCCATTTTTTTAAGCAGTTTTTCTTATTTTACTAGAAAAATATAAGTTTAATCGTGAAAATGCAATATATCACCGTTGTAAAATATGAAATTTACTACAAACATTTATTATTCAAATTACCAACATTTTTCATCTGTTTTTAAAATTTGATAATTTTTTTTTTCGGAATGTATTGGTCTGACGAAAAAATTACTAGAGACCTTTTTTGATTAAAATGAGCCCAAGAATACAAAGAACTTTTTTACTTGAGAAAAAAACATATCTTTGCGAGATTTTTCGTACAGGCGACCCTTCTTTGATTTTTTCGGCAGCTGATAAAAATCGATGCTCGTCTCTACTTCTTCATCCAGCTCCAAATATCGCTTTGTATTCCGTTGATCCAACAGAAACTCTTTCGTCCAGCTGTCTTCAATCTTATTGAACACATCCTTGGCAGCAATATCGAAAGTCTTGGACAAAGATTCCTTGAAATCCAGGATAGCGAAAGCATAGCTATCAGTTGTGTGACCTTTTCTCTTCAGCAAAGCGTCCCAGTCCTTGTATAATTTTTTAAAGCTCTTGATGCAATCACATTCATTTTTCATTGGAATATTTGCTTTTGACCAAAACACATAACACTTCCTCAATACGGTGCGCATATTGTCTCTTTGGCTTAGTTTTTCATTTATCGTATAATAGAAGTAGCACCGCATCATGTCTTCATTCGTAGGCAACATTTTGCCCCGCAACTCTGCCGTCAATTTTTCTCGATCATTGATGTCGGGCAAGTCAAAATGCGATTTAACACCTCGCGTTGACATGCGATCTGCCTGCACTGCACTCTCCATGGTTATCACAAATTCACCCAAAAAGCAATTGAAAACTTTTCACAAAACAATGCGAAAAAGATCACACTTTTCAGAAAACACTGTCCGAACTAGTAAAGCTGTTAACTCAACAAGAACGACTCTAACACTGACGTTCGCAAAAATTATAACTCTGCTTATATACCTGTTAACTTAACTAGAACGACGCTAACACTAATACAATTCAGGACTAAAGAATGGGCGTCGAAAGTCCGAACTCGACGTCGAAAATCGAAACCGACTGAGTCTAATCCCGATTCGGACTTTGCTGACAGCAAAGAGGTACTGTCAGATCAACGTATTTTCAGCAATAATTTATGGCCGCTGCTTATACTCGAATAACTGAAGATGGATGAGATTATTTTTATAAACAGCGGTTATAAATTATTACTAGAATTAAGTTGATTTTCAGCGCTAAGGATTTAGAAAATATTGAAAATTTGAGGATATGCATCGGTTATAAAGTATTGCCGGAATTATGTTGAACTGACAATAAATCATTGACTGTCTTAATGCCAGCAGACAGTTCAATCCCGAGTTGACTTTCGACGCCCAATGTTTACTTCAAAATTTTGTT